CATTCATATTGCAAATTATTTTGATCATCTCTATCTTGAATATTTTCTAGATACCATCGCTTTGCAATAAGATGTATATTAAATTTTGCGACTTTAGAATTCATCATCACATGGAAAAAATGCGAACATACAAATCTGTGATTAATTATAGCCAAACACGTGCATAAATGACCACTATCTATCAGTAAAATAATATAATACTTATATGATTTGGTAAGACCAGTAAGTTCCTAAATTTCTATGATATCGGATAACTGGATTCTTTCCAATAGGAAAAAAATAGATGTTTGCAGCCTATCTAATTGATCTTTAAGGAATCTATCACCATAGTTGTGCTGATCATTATTCTAATGAAAAATTTGTAAGTGTCAAGTTTTCCTATCTTCTAATTTTTTAATCCCATCCCCAACATCTTTTTCACTTTTAATATAACTTGCCTTTACAATATCAATTGCTTCTTTCAAAACAATTTTAGCACGGTATAATAAAAACCTGAGAATTTGTTGATGTTGAACTGATAGAATATGCGGAGTTAGATAACGTTTCATTAATTTATTAATATTGAAAAATATGGGATCGATAAATGATGATACCTGGTTGGTTGAAAGACTATGAAGATATGTATTATGCTGAGCCCATTTTGTTTTATCGTCTAATAATCTTTATGTTTGATCATATAGGTTACATAGCGAAGATGAACTATTAGCACTTTCTTTAATCAAACGGTTCATAATTTCGACTCTTTGTGTGCTTTGAATGCCAGCTGTAAAGTTTTTGAATTGATAACACCTAGCCCATGACCGATAAGAAGTATTTAAAGTTCTATTAAGATAATCTTGAGCCAAAGGATACTTTTCGATCAATCATGTCCAACGATGATAAAAATCATCCTCAAATAAACTATTTTGAGCATGTAAAATCTTTATAAAAAGATTTGTAATCTTGTCCTAATTTGCTTGCCAAATTTTTTCGTAAGTTTTCTTGTATGTGGAAAATACAAAGAAAGTGGTGAGTATTAGGCATCTTTGATGCCACTGCCTTCATTAAAGCAGGATCAGAATCTGAAAATAAATAAATAGGTAGAATATGATTAGTTGCGTGAAGAACACAGTCAAATAACCATTTATAGCTTTCAACTGTTTCGTCTTCTGACAAACATTGAGCAATAAGACGACTTTTGGTATTATTATCCATAACAATTAGCATTGTTAAATACATGTTAAACCAGTTAGTTTGACACGTATTATCTGTTTGTATCACATTGTTATAGTGTATAAGGCATTGATTCTGACTAGGTGACATTCAAAACAGACTTACAAGTCAGTTATCAAAAGGATCAATTCTTGTGTGAATGATCCATCTGGGTTCTTGATCTTTTAAATTAAATAACATATTGATCATAATTTGTGCATCTCTATATCGATTAGTAAATGGGACTTTAAACCTTTAAATTGCATTGTGAAGATCCCTTTTATGAATATATTGATCTGGAAAACTTGCAACCAATAAGGGATATATTTGTTTTGAACCTATATTTCCTTTGGTAACATGAAATTTGATCCTTTCTATTATATCATCTGAAAGACAACGGTACTTAGAAGCATATAAATATGTGTTAGATATCATAAGATTATGTTGTTCAATGATGTTATTAACTTTTATTTCTGATGATGACTTCAGATTTGTAATATTAATGTACCATAGGCACATTATTTTTCTGAATAGGCACTGCCGTTGGTAATTTATATCAATCATCTGATTAGAAATTAGTTTACTGGAAAAACTGCATTCAAATGTACGATATCGAATTATCCCATCATTATCAAGCTCAACGCACTTCTGACGTATAGAAAATCCTGCCGTTTTTGCATATAGATTGAGCTTTATGTCCACCTTATCCTATGAAGAAAAAGTATCACCAACATTAATTTGTACTTTATTTTTAATTTCTTTTCTAGAAGTATCAGATTCTCTAACAAGAACAATGGAACCTCTGGTATCAGAATCATCCTTAAAAGCAACCGAACCTTCAGCAAATGTAGCATTAGAATCCTTTGCAAAGGATATAGAACCTCCAGCAAAGGCAACAGAACCACTAGAATTTCCAACGAAGGCAACAGAACCTTCTGTAAAAGCAGCAGACTCTTTTTTTTTTGCTTAAATAAGTTTGATTGTCTTCAATAAAAAAAAACTATAAATCATAAACTTTTATACAAAAGTCATAAGAAACAGCAAGACTTATGAGATTTTACATTTACCATCCATAGTGGTAAAAGACGTAAATTAAAGACAAAGAACAAGGAAAAAAAGGCTTAAAATTTAGAAATCCATGTCAAAGAAACTTTCTAAAAAAGTTCCTTCTTCTTAAATTAGTTTTTCCGTTATTATTAATACAAAAAGAATGTATGTTAAATTTGCAAAAGAAAAGTAAGTGAAAGAGCAGCAAATATGTAACACTAGCAAATATGTAACACTTTTTTTTATTTGTCTATTATTGTATCACGTGTCATACATGTAACGTCACATAAATATTATTGTTACATGATACTAGTGATGATCACCCCCAGTAATTTTAAATAAATACCTTTTATAAATATATAATTTATCTTCAAATTATAATAAAAATATTTAATATTTATTTATAATATTAAAGTATTTAAAATTCTGACTTATATTATAAAAATCAGTTTTGAAAAAAGTATTTATATATTAATAGACTTAGTTTATTCAATTTTTTTCAAAATTTATTTTTTTTTATTTAAAAATTTTTCAAGTTTAGATAAAATTAAACAAAGTAAATTCAATAAAAATATACGGTTAACACTTGTTATAATAAAGCTCATTATAGTAAATTTGGCTTATAGTAAACTTTTTTCATTCTTCCAGTTCGCTTACTAATAAATCTTATTCATTATAGTAAACTTACTTACTATAGAACGTATATTATAAATTTATTCTCGTTATAGTAAATATTACGTGAAATCATTAGATTTGGATTTGCAAATCATTTTTAAACATATGTAGTTAGTTTAATTTCCTTTTTTAATAATAAACCCTATTATTGTGATACAACTTTTTTTCATTATTTTTTAAAATGCCACCCATTAGAAAAGGCAAAGAAAAAGAAATAAAAAAAGTTAGTAAAAGAAAAAGTTTATCATTTGTGCAAAAAAAAGAATTATGTGAGTGAAAAAGTGATAATCTATCATATAATCAAGAAGATCTTGCTAAAAATATGACATATCAAAACTGCAAGTTTTTAGGATACTAAAAGAAAAGTATAAATGGCTATATATTGATATTGCAAATAAAGAATTAAGTAATCAAAAAAGAGATAGAGGTGCAAAATTTTTAGAAATTGAATCTGCATTATATTTATGGATGCAGCAAGCATTAGCTTCAAATTTAATAATTACGGATGACATATTAAAGATTAAAGCTTTGAATTTTGTGACTCAATTACAAATAATAACTTTTACTGCTTCAGATGGGTGGTTATCAAAGTTTAAAAAGCGGTATAATATAAGACAATTTATTAAAGCTACAGTGTACTGTTAGAAATATTAGAAGAAGAACGTGTGACTTTGTAAGAAATTATTGAATAATATGATCTTTGTGACGTCTATAATATTGATGAAACAGGTAAATACAATTGGAGTTATACAAAATATTATTTTATTATCATTATTAATTATGATAGTTTTGTATTTTTTAGCTTTATTTTAGAATTTAGAATCATCCAAATCATTTTCAGATCATTATATTTCCAGCACTAAAAAATCAAAAAATCATATTACGATTATTTTAACCAGTAATACTTATAGTAGTCATAAGTTACCTGCATTAGTAACATACAAGTAGCAGACTTCACACATTTTAAAAGGAATTAAAAAGGATAATTTACCTGTTTAGTATTATTAGAACTGTATGGCTTGAATTCAAGTATCAGTATAACGTGATTATCTTAATAAACTTATTTAATTAATAAGATAGCAAAATCGTAATATTTTATTATTAGCGGATAATGCATCTACATATTTAATTGATGAAACTATACAATTATCAAATATTAAAATATATTTTCTTCCTCCAAACACAACTTTTTACTTGCAATCTTTAGATATTGATATTATCAAAAGTTTTAAAGTAAGAATAAATACACTAATTATTAATATTATTTGTTATAATTTAATATTTTATCAACTAAATATTTTTTAGAACTAATATAGAAAACTTTTGGTCACAAATAGGGTGGAAGCATATGATATAGCTCAAAAAAATAGGTTAGATATAACACCAATTGATATTCTTAATGTTATAATATTTATAAGTGAGGCATGAAAAATAGTAAAATTAAATACAATTAAAAATTGCTAGAAAAAAACAGATATTTTATCAAATGATTTTGACTAAAATACTATCAATAATGATATCAATAAAATTACTTTAGAATTATAAGACATTATTAATAAATTAAATTTATAAGATTCTATTATAGCTAAGAAGTTTATTTGTATTGATAACATGATTCTAATAGAATTATTATCAGATAAAGAAATTATAGATACAGTAATTTCAAATTCTGAAATAATGATACAGAAGAGGATGAAGAATCTGAAATAAGTATTATTACTAATAAAGAGGTTCTGAATAATTTAGAAAAGTAATTCTTTATTTTAAAAATCTACCTGATAATATTACAATTAACTACAAAAAAATTCAAGATAATGCAAAGCAGTCTATATTAAATAATTATATAAACTTATATTAAATACTTAAAATATATAAATATATAATTGTTAATAATAAAATTCAAAAAACTTTCATTAAAAGAAACTTTTTTTTGTATTAATATAAAGTTTATTATAAAGAGAACTTTCATTTTTATAAATATTCATTATAATAAACAAAAATGACTGAAACTGAAAATTTACTATAATAAGCTTTAACTGTAGTAAATTCTTCTTATAATAAATAAATATTTAAAATATATATTATATTAATTAAAGTTTAAATTTATTATTATTATTTTTATTATTAAATCATTAAGTTTAAATATTAGCATTTTACATATAGAGGATAGACAAAAGAATCTGCACATTCTTTATAAAATGTGAATTAATACTAGTAAAGTTATATGATTATAATAATAAATTATGTTCATATAATACTTAAGTATTTATTTATATTATAAAAATAAAAGAATAACAATTTGTTTTTTTCTTCTCTGAAAATTTAAAAAAAAGATAAAAACTAAAGAATTAACTACAATGTCTTTTAAAGCAAAAAATAATTTTTATATATTATCTTGACCAACTCAAAATTCTGATCTCAATCCAATTGAGAATCTTTAGACTGAAGTCAAGAAAAGTATCTGAGCTTATAAAAAATCTCCATCTAATCTTGCTAATCTTGACCAATATATTAAAAAGGCATGATAAAGAAATTTTGAAACATACTATTGAAAATCTAGTTGATAGTATACTGTAATGAATTTAAGTTATGATTACAGCAAATAATGTCTAATTAAGTACTAGTTATCTAGTACAAAATGTAGATATTAATTGGCTTTAAATAAAATATTAATTGATCTTTTATTGTTAATACAAAAAATTTTAAGTTTTATATTGAGTGAAAAAGTATGCAGATACTTTTATTTATCTTTTGTATATAAAAATATTTTTATTTTTTATATGTAAATTACCAATATTTAAAGTTAGTTTTCTTTAAAACTATTGATCTGATACTTATTAAATTTAGAACTAAAATTCATCTAAATTAAATTTATCATATATATAACTGATGTTATCTAATTTACTTTAAATTTTTCTCTTAAAATTATCTAAAAATTAAAGTATATATAATTAAATTAAATTATTAAGAAATGTTATTTATATATCAAATTATAGTTGAGAGGTTTAATAATAACCATAACTTTGATGAAACTATGTTAATATTATAATAAAGAATATGACAAATTCTTTAGATATAATAAAAGTTAAAACTATTAAAACTATATTAAAAATATAAAAAAAAGTATAAAAAATTATTTCAAGAAGATTATAATAAGTATTTTTAATAATAATTGAATTAATTTTTAAGAAATTTAAAAAATTGAAAGTTATTTATCAATTAAAAATAAATTAAAGTCTATTTATATATTATAATCAAATTATTTATTAAGAAATTTAAGAAATTAATTTATTAAATTAATTTTTAAAATTTAAAAAAAGTTACAAATTCTAAGTATAAAATAATTAAATTAAATAAAAGTCTGTTAAATTTAACTTTTTGCTCTCTTCTTTTCTTTCAATCTGCATATCTTTCAATTATTTTATTTGTAATTATTTTCTTTTAATTTATTATTTTAATAGAATAAAATCTCTTTTAAATAATAGTAATTTATATAAGATTATAAAAATATCTAACTATTATATCAGTTATTATTAGTATATTGAATATTGTTAATTTTATTATAGAAGTATCTTTTACATTTTTAAAAATTGAAGCAATAAAATAAAAATACAAAACTTTTATATTGAAAAATTTTATTTAGAAAATAAAGAAGTCTTAATAAAGATGAATATTTTGAAAGCTGATAATAATACAAATTTATTTTCTAGATAATTTCTTAAAATATAATGAAATTTTTATTATAATGAAATTTATAGATTTATTTTTAAATTTGATTAATATTAAAGATGGTTTTTATAATTATTTTCAAATTTTAATTAAGTTGCAACTTAATTATATTATAAGAAAATTTAATTGCATTATTTTTTAATTATAACATTTATTTTTAGTTAATATTTTATAAAAATAAAGAGTTATAATCACCATTAGAAGTATTTTGAAGAAAGAACAAAGTGAAAAGATTGCTCCTTATATTTTTAAAATAAATGACACTCAAACGCTGAAAGCTTATCTAAGAAAAGAAAGGATTAATTATGAAATTTACCATGAAGAAAGAAAAATAATAAACATTGGAAAAAGAAAGCAGAATGAAAGTGTGTTATTACAAAACAAAAGACTGAAATCTCTAGGCAAAAAAACCTAATGCAAAATTACTATCATTCTAACTATAACTTTTCTTATTTTGTGATTGAAACCTGTTTTTTTTCACTTAAAATTTTATTATATTAAAAGTAATTATTAGTAAAAAAGAATGTTTTAATTGTAACCAAACTAAAGAAGGATTAACAATTAATTGATAAGATGAAGAAAATAGAGAACATAAAGTATTTTGTTGTTAAGATTGCTCTGAAAACTTAATTCAAAAAGAATTAGATAAAAAAACTGCTGTTTGAGAAAGAAATAAAAAGAAAATCTTTAGAGAAACTTTACAAAAAGTTAAAAATAAAGAAAATTTTGATTGGTCTTTCAGAACAAGAATTATCAATCAAAAAGGGAATGGAAGGTGAGATAGAATAACTATTTGATACTCTTAATGCAAAATCATGCTGGACTGAGATGTCACCGCTTATGAAGACAGTCAAGGACATAAATGTTCTCAAGTAATTGTAACCAACAAATTGCAAGGGGTAAACAAAATGATCACTTTATTTGAAAAGATAATAACACTTCTAGCTATATTTGTCCAAAAAGTGCTGAAGGGAGTGAAATAGTTTGTCATATGTGTGACAAAATGCAAGTACAAAAAAAAGAATACTTAAATCTCAAGTCTCTGACTCAAAGTATATAAATGCTAGTGTAGTTTTAAGACAAAACTCTAAAGGTCATATAGTACTGTGTACTAAACGTTATGCAGAAAACTTCAAAGAAATAACTAGGGAAGAATGATCAGATATTTTGCCTGTATTTAGAGATGTTGTAAAAAAAGTTGATAAGGCTTATAATCCAGCAGGCTATAGAGTTAGTATACCAATATCACCAATTGGTACTCAAAATCCATCTCATTTTTATATGCGAGTGGTTCCTAAATACAAGAAGAATTATGGAAGTTTAGGAATCAAAAGTGTATTGGAAAAAAGTTTTGCTTCAGAAGTAGCTAAGGATGCAAAAAAACTTTTTCAAGTAACAAATGACAATACTATCATTGCAGAAAAGAATAACATTATTGCCAGATTACACATTGAAATAGGAAATATAACCATTTCTATCAAAAATCATTTACCTAACAATATCAATGTTGTGGATCAAGAAACCTAAAATCAAATTGGAAAAGTCTGTCAAGAACTTATACAAAAAATGGAATCTGCATCATTTGCTGGTGGTTTTACTATCAAATATGAACTTAATGAAAAGGCTACACAATTATGAAAAGAAGAAGCAGAAATATCTTCAAGTTACAGTCAACGACCAAAATTATGCGGACATTTTGATTTGTCAAAATTAGGCAGATCGATCGTTATATGATTACATAATTAAAACAATACGTCATTTTTTACTTATAACGATAAACAATACCCCAAACCTTTTCCTCTTTTAA